TCAAAAACATTTAAGTGAAAAAAAAATCCCCTTTTTCTGTAAAAAAATAAATGCACGTGTTGTGGCATCCATGCATAAAAACGTAAATTTATACACGTTCGATATCGCCTCACACGGCTGAATGAGAGTAACAATTCTAGCACCAGATCTCCTCCATAACCCTAAACTGATGACCTATAGGGGGCTTTTAAAGCATCGCCTATAGAAAATATAGGGTACTGAAGTTTGGCTCCTAACTTTTTTTAGCTGGCTCCTAGATTCAAAGCAAATTTGTCAAGCCCTGTCCTAAAGTGCTAATAAACCCTTACATAAGCTGACTGAAATGACTATCCTCAGGTGATACACAGTGATTAATTAAATCTTCCTACTTTAGCTCTATCTGATTATCTGCAGTCTTCTCTACTAGAGATGAGCGAATCGAACTCGGCGAAGTGGAATTCGTTTCGAATATTAGAAAAATTTCGATTCGCGCCGAATCCGAAAATTAGCAGACTTCGGATGCGCGAATCGAAATTTTTCCAAAAATGGCGGCGACATGTGTGGCGACGGAGCAGGGATCTCTGGGAAGGCGCGCAGACAAGGCGCGCTGACCCATAATGCATTCATTCATGACATGTGATCGCATTAGCCAATCAGCAGCCAGCCAGCCAGCACTGTGTAATGGTGGAGCTATAAATTGCGGCCATCTTACAATTCTCCATTTGCCTCTGGTCATTCAAGAGAGACAGATCTCTCTGTATTAGGGACACAGAACCGTTACTTAGGGACACAGAACCGTTACTTAGGGACACAGAACCGTTACTTAGGGACACAGAACCGTTACTTAGGGACACACAATCGTTACTTAGGGACACAGAACCGTTACTTAGCGACACAGAATTGTTACTCAGGGACAGACACAGAATTGTTACTCAGGGACAGACACACAGAATTGTTACTCAGGGACAGACACAGAATTGTTACTGAGGGACACAGAATTGTTACTGAGGGACACAGAATTGTTACTGAGGGACACAGAATTGTTACTCAGAATTGGGACAGACACAGAATTGTTACTCAGGGACAGACACAGAATTGTTACTCAGGGACACAGAGACAGGGACAGAACAGAATTGTTACTCAGGGACAGACACAGAACACAGAATTGTTACTGAGGGACACAGAATTGTTACTGAGGGACACAGAATTGTTACTGAGGGACACAGAATTGTTACTGAGGGACACAGAATTGTTACTCAGGGACACAGAATTGTTACTCAGGGACACAGAATTATTACTCAGGGACACAGAATTGTTACTTAGGGACACAGAATTGTTACTCAGGGACACAGAATTGTTACTCAAGGACAGACACAGAATTGTTACTGAGGGACACAGAATTGTTACTCAGGGACACAGAATCGTTGAATTAAAGAGTATGTCAGACAACATGCAGAGGAGTGGCAGAGGAGGCAATTTTTAGGAGCGAGCAGACGTGGCAGCAGAGGAAGGGGTCGAGGCAGCACTAGTCGCAGCCAGAGGCCAGTGCTCCCGGTGTCATCCAGCGGTCGTGTCTCCACCGACAACCCTGCCGTCATCGATTGGTTGGCTCGGTCGTCTTCCTCTTCCCAGGTCACCTCTGACACCTACAGCCAACGGTCGGTGGGTACGTCAGACACAACCGTTAGTTGGCATGGCCCGGGAGCAAGCCCACTGAAATCACGTGTCCTCTACCTGCCCCTGTCCTTTGGTGTTCCCTCACCAAGCGAAGTATCGCATGCTGTGGGCTCAGCCCCACTGTACAGTGAGGAAGAGCTAACAGAGGGCGGTCAGGAACGGGGGGAGACATCCGCCTCTTCAGCAGCCAGGCAAAGAAGTACTGCCGAGGAGAGTGGCTCGGTAGCCGGTCTAGAGACAAGTCTGTCTCCTGACCCAGACGCAGCCGAGGGGGCTAGTAGTGAGGCGGAGACCCTAATTGATGATGATGAGGCTGATCGCACTTGGCAGCCTCGTCGTCATCAGGCTATTGCTTCCGCATCATCAGGAGAAGAGGGTGGCAGCTTGGCAGCGAGCAAAACAGTCGGTGGGTTGCCCAGGAGGCAGCAGGGTCGCAGCAGTGTCAGTGGAGGCAAACGGCCACGGAGTAGAGCACCAGCTCCACTGCAGCCTACCACCACGGCCAGTAGTGGTGCCGGTGTGCACGGAGGAAGTAGCAGTCAGCCAGTGAGGAGTATCGGGGGCAAAGTTTCCTACTCGGCGGTGTGGCAATTTTTTGTCAAGCCGCCCGAGGAAGTAAACGTAGCCGTATGTCGACTATGTGGCCAGAAAGTCAAGCGTGGCCAGGGGGCCCATGTTGGGACTACAGCGTTGCGTCAGCATATGCAGCGTCGCCATTTGGTGGCCTGGGAAAACCGTGATAAAGATACGGTGGTTCTGCCTGCCCCAGCCCCCGCTCCATCACCCGCTCCGTTACTTGCTCCGTCACCCGACGTCAATCGCCCTCTATCAGCCAGTCAAAGCTCCAACACCTCTGCTGAGGGGAGTTGTCGCTCGTTCGCATCTTCCGCTCGTTCAGATGCTCCTTCTCCTGCTACTCCTCTTCACGGATTCCGTCAGCAGTCTTTCTTGGAATCCGTTTCCAAGAGACAACAGTTTGCGAGCACGCACCCGACGGTGCAGAAGCTGAACGTCCTCCTGTCCAAGTTGCTGGTGCTGCAGTCCCTCCCTTTCCAAGTGGTGGACTCAGCACCTTTCCGAGAAATGATGGCTTGTGCCGCGCCGCGGTGGAGAGTGCCAAGCCGGCATTTCTTCTCCAAAAAGGCAGTGCCAGCCCTGCATTCACATGTAGAAGAGATGGTGGGCCAGTCTTTGAGCATGTCGGTCTCTGCCAAAGTGCACGGCAGCGCCGACGTGTGGAGCTGTAACTACGGTCAGGGACAGTACATGTCATTTACGGCCCACTGGGTGAACGTGGTGCCGGCACAGCCACACCAGCAACTTGGACAGGTCACGCTGCTTTTGCCTCCACGTTTGCACGTTCTTGCGGCCCGGCAAAGATGTCCACCTCTACCACCTCTTCTTCCGCCGTGTCCTCAGCCGCCACCCCCGTGCCAAGTCCCATTACCCGACCGGCATATCACATGTGCAGGGCGCAACGGTGTCACGCTGTGCTGCACCTGGTATGCCTTGGTGAACGTAGTCACACAGGGGAGGAACTTCTGAGTGTAATGAACAGAGAAATCGACAGATGGCTGTCTCCGCGCAAACTGAAAATCGGAACCATGTTGACCGACAACGGAAAGAACATGGTGTCTGCTCTGCGTCAAGGAAGGTTGTGCCATGCGCCATGCATGGCTCACGTGTTCAATCTGGTTGTCAAGCGGTTCCTAAAATCCACCATCCCACTGCAAGACATCCTTAAAATGTCACGTAAACTTTGCATGCATTTCAGCCATTCCTACACCGCAAAGCACACACTCCTTGAGCTGCAGCGGCAGAACGGAATTCCACAGCATCGCCTGATCTGCGACGTTGCAACAAGGTGGAATTCAACCCTACACATGTTAGACCGCCTTTACGAACAGCGAAAGGCCATCACCGATTTCCTGATGTTACAAGCGGATAAAGGTACTCCCCTGTGTAACTTAGATGTCAGCCATTGGCAGCTCATGCGTGACACCTGCCGCTTGCTCAGGCCCTTTGAGGAGGCCACGCTATTCGTGAGTCGGCAGGACTATGGGATGAACGACGTCATTCCTCTGTTGCACGTCCTGGAACAAATGCTGTTAACAATGGCTGGTCAGGGTGCGGTAGACGTGGCGCACAGATCTCAACGCCACATGACCCCTGTGGGGGCAGGACAGGAAGAAGAGGAGGAGGTAGAGGAGGCCATTGGTGCTCAGGAATTATTGAGTGAAATGGGTGGTTTTTCCACTCAGCGGACAGGAGTGGAGGAGCAGGAGCATCTGGTAGAGGAGGAGGAGGAGGAGGAGACAGAGGACCCAGACGCACCGTGGCAGTATGCTGTGTGAGATGGAGGCAGGGAGTCCCTCGCATTCCTTGGCACAAATGTCCCATAGCATGCTCGTTGCTTGCGTAGCGACAGCCGAATAATAACCATCAGACAGAGGGATGACTTTTGGCTGTCCACCTTGTTGGACCCTCGCTACCGTTCAAAAATGGTGGCCTTTTTCACACCTGCCGAGAGGGAGGCCAAAATAACGTACTATAAAAACCACCTATGTAGTCAGTTGGTCTCTGCCTTTCTGCGCCAACGTCCATCCTCAGACACTGTGGGCCCTGTGCGCTCGCGTTCCGCTGCCATGGCAGCAGGGGAGGGGTGGGGTGGTAGGAGCAGTGGCAGCACCACCAGCAGCGGCTGCCACAGTCTGCAGTCGATGATGAGTAGCTTTCTTCACCAGCGCAGTGAGGAAACTACCAACCAGCCGCAGCAGCAGCAGCATCAGGTGGACCTGGAGCAGGACCTCAAACAGCAGGCTTGGGCCTACTTGGACAGCACCCTGCCAACCGAGGTAGACAATCCCCTTGACTACTGGGCAACGAAACTTGACCTTTGGCCCCAACTAGCTGATTTGCCCTTGAAAGGCTGTCATGCCCGGCCAGTAGCGTGGCATCGGAGCGCGTGTTTAGTGCGGCAGGAGGTATTGTAACTCCGTGGAGGACACGACTGTCCACCCAAAGTGTGGAGAGACTCACGTTTGTGAAAATGAATCAGGCGTGGATTAGTCTGGATTTCAAACCACCAGTTCCTGACACAACTGACTAAATCCGCCATGAATCATGCCCCAAAACATGTGCCACTTTCAGGTCTCCTCACACTGCTGGTGTGTTCCATTTTGTCATAGGGTGCTGGCAGATTACGGGCCTCCCATTGCTGCTGCCAGGCCTGTAATCTGCCATGGGCCCCTGTACCGCCTCCTCATGCTGCTGCCAGGTCCAGAGTCTCTCATGGGTCCCTGTGCGGCCTCCCATTGCTGCTGTCTCCATCGCCACACTCTGCCATGTGCCACTTTCAGGTCTCCTCACACTGCTGGTGTGTTCCATTTTGTCATAGGGTGCTGGCAGATTACGGGCCTCCCATTGCTGCTGCCAGGCCCGTAATCTGCCATGGGCCCCCGTACCGCCTCCTCATGCTGCTGCCAGGTCCAGAGTCTCTCATGGGTCCCTGTACGGCCTCCCATTGCTGCTGTCTCCATCGCCACACTCTGCCATGTGCCACTTTCAGGTATCCTCACACTGCTGGTGTGTTCCATTTTGTCATAGGGTGCTGGCAGATTACGGGCCTCCCATTGCTGCTGCCAGGCCTGTAATCTGCCATGGGCCCCTGTACCGCTTCCTCATGCTGCTGCCAGGTCCAGAGTCTCTCATGGGTCCCTGTACGGCCTCCCATTGCTGCTGTCTCCATCGCCACACTCTGCCATGTGCCACTTTCAGGTCTCCTCACACTGCTGGTGTGTTCCTTTTTGTCATAGGGTGCTGGCAGATTACGGGCCTCCCATTGCTGCTGCCAGGCCTGTAATCTGCCATGGGCCTCTGTACCGCCTCCTCATGCTGCTGCCAGGTCCACAGTGTCTCATGGGTCCCTGTACGGCCTCCCATTGCTTCTGTCTCCATCGCCACACTCTGCCATGTGCCACTTTCAGGTCTCCTCACACTGCTGGTGTGTTCCATTTTGTCATAGGATGCTGGCAGATTACGGGCCTCCCATTGCTGCTGCCAGGCCCGTAATCTGCCATGGGCCCCTGTACCGCCTCCTCATGCTGCTGCCAGGTCCAGAGTCTCTCATGGGTCCCTGTACGGCCTCCCATTGCTGCTGTCTCCATCGCCACACTCTGCCATGTGCCACTTTCAGGTCTCCTCACACTGCTGGTGCTGTCCATTTTGTCATAGGGTGCTGGCAGATTACGGGCCTCCCATTGCTGCTGCCAGGCCCGTAATCTGCCATGGGCCCCTGTACCGCCTCCTCATGCTGCTGCCAGGTCCAGAGTCTGTCATGGGTCCCTGTACGGCCTCCCATTGCTGCTGTCTCCATCGCCACACTCTGCCATGTGCCACTTTCAGGTCTCCTCACACTGCTGGTGTGTTCCATTTTGTCATAGGGTGCTGGCATATTACGGGCCTCCCATTGCTGCTGCCAGGCCCGTAATCTGCCGTGGGCCCCCGTACCGACTCCTCATGCTGTGACGTTGCAACAAGGTGGAATTCAACCCTACATATGTTAACCGCCTTTACGAACAGCGAAAGGCCATCACCGATTTCCTGATGTTACAAGCGGATAAAGGTACTCCCCTGTGTAACTTAGATGTCAGCCATTGGCAGCTCATGCGTGACACCTGCCGCTTGCTCAGGCCCTTTGAGGAGGCCACGCTATTCGTGAGTCGGCAGGACTATGGGATGAACGACGTCATTCCTCTGTTGCACGTCCTGGAACAAATGCTGTTAACAATGGCTGGTCAGGGTGCGGTAGACGTGGCGCACAGATCTCAACGCCACATGACCCTGTGGGGGCAGGACAGGAAGAAGAAGAGGAGGTAGAGGAGGACATTGATGCTCAGGAATTATTGAGTGAAATGGGTGGTTTTTCCACTCAGCGGACAGGAGTGGAGGAGCAGGAGCATCTGGTAGAGGAGGAGGAGGAGGAGGAGGAGACAGAGGACCCAGACGCACCGTGGCAGTATGCTGTGGAGATGGAGGCAGGGAGTCCCTCGCATTCCTTGGCACAAATGGCCCATAGCATGCTCGGTTGCTTGCGTAGCGACAGCCGAATAATAACCATCAGACAGAGGGATGACTTTTGGCTGTCCACCTTGTTGGACCCTCGATACCGTTCAAAAATGGTGGCCTTTTTCACACCTGCTTAGGGAGGCCAAAATAACGTACTATAAAAACCACCTATGTAGTCAGTTGGTCTCTGCCTTTCTGCGCCAACGTCCATCCTCAGACACTGTGGGCCCTGTGCGCTCGCGTTCCGCTGCCATGGCAGCAGGGGAGGGGTGGGGTGGTAGGAGCAGTGGCAGCTCCACCAGCAGCAGCTGCCTCAGTCTGCAGTCGATGATGAGTAGCTTTCTTCACCAGCGCAGTGTGAGGAAACTACTAACCAGCCGCTGCAGCAGCAGCATCAGGTGGACCTGGAGCAGGACCTCAAACAACAGGCTCGGGCCTACTTGGACAGCACCCTGCCAACCGAGGTAGACAATCCCCTTGACTACTGGGCAACGAAACTTGACCTTTGGCCCCAACTAGCTGAATTTGCCCTTGAAAGGCTGTCATGCCCGGCCAGTAGCGTGGCATCGGAGCGCGTGTTTAGTGCGGCAGGAGGTATTGTAACTCCGTGGAGGACACGACTGTCCACCCAAAGTGTGGAGAGACTCACGTTTGTGAAAATGAATCAGGCGTGGATTAGTCTGGATTTCAAACCACCAGTTCCTGACACAACTGACTAAATCCGCCATGAATCATGCCCCAAACATGTTATTATTTTTAACATAAACCTCTGTATGGCCTTCAATTCAAGCTGCTTACGCTTCGCCACTCTGCCATGGGCCCCTGTACCGCCTCCTCTTGCTGCTGCCAGGTCCAGAGTGTGTCATGGGTCCCTGTACGGCCTCCCATTGCTGCTGACTTCATCGCCAGACTCTGCCATGTGCCACTTTCAGGTCTCCTTACACTGTTGGTGGGTTCCATTTTGTCATAGGGTGCTGGCAGATTACGGGCCTCCCATTGCTGCTGCCAGGCCCGTAATCTGCAATGGGCCCCCGTACCGCCTCCTCATGCTGCTGCCAGGTCCAGAGTGTGTCATGGGTCCCTGTACGGCCTCCCATTGCTGCTGTCTCCATCGCCACACTCTGCCATGTGCCACTTTCAGGTCTCCTCACACTGCTGGTGGGTTTTATTTTGTCATAGGGTGCTGGCAGATTACGGGCCTCCCATTGCTGCTGCCAGGCCCGTAATCTGCCATGGGCCCCCGTACCGCCTCCTCATGCTGCTGCCAGGTCCAGAGTGTCTCATGGGTCCCTGTATGGCCTCCCATTGCTGCTGTCTCCATCGCCAGACTCTGCCATGTGCCACTTTCAGGTCTCCTCACACTGCTGGTAGGTTCCATATTTGTCATAGGGTGCTGTATGGCCTCCCATTGCTGCTGCCTCCACCGCCACACTGTGGCTCCACACTCTGGTTTTGGCCCGTGACTGCCCAATGAGTGAAGTGTGCGGTGATTCTAAGATCGACGGAACTCATCTGCATGTCATACTGACTGACAGTATTATTTCTCTTCCCCAGCAGACTCCAAGGGCATTTAAATTAAAGGTACAGTGTTCTGCAATAATATAAAGGCTCTCTGAAGCCTAGAAACCCTTTTTATAAGTTAAATTTGCAGCGAATATATTCGCATCGAATCAAATTTATTCCTCGAATTCGCCGAATCGAATTTTTGAATACTTCGCTCATCTCTATTCTCTACTCTAGAGCTGTTTAAGCTACACAGATCATGGGATATTTTTCAGCTTGCAGAGGCAGGGGGTGGGGATATAATGTTACACACTTACAAATCTGAGTGTAATCTGAGAGCTGAGAGGGTGGAATGGACATACCCCCCCCCTCTACACTGTCTGGTAGGGAGACATGCACATTTGAGGCTGTTAATGACCTTCTATGTGTTTTGGCGGCCGTCCCCCAGGATTGCCTTGTGTCCAGAATAAATGTCAGAATTGAGTTAGTGCTATACAGTAGATAGTGGCAAATACATACTGTAGAAGGATTTGCTTTGTTTATTTTTCATTTAACCACTTGCCCTCCAGAGGATTTACCCCCCTCTTCCTGACTAGGCCATTTTTTTCATTACAGCGCTGCATTACTTTAACTGACAATTGCACGGGCATGCAATGCTGCACCCAAATTAAATTTACGTCCTTTTTTTCCCACGAATTGAGCTTTCCCTGTAGGTATTTGATCGCATGTGCGTTTTTTTTTGCATTATGAAAAAAAAAAAATACCAGCAATTTTGAGAAAAAACAAACAAACAATTGAGTACTGACGTATGTCTGTGCAAATTTATCCTTGTTTGCAACTTCTGTCCTGTTTCGCCAACATAAGATCCTGTGCTACACTTTCATCACTGGATAAGGTACACAACATTATTGGAGGTGCAGCTGTATGATCCGGAGATACTGAAGATCCCTTTTGAGTGTCTGACACTTTTTTGATGGATTGATTTGGTTGCACAGTTTGCAGCGTTTTTTATTGCAGGGTTTGCTTCCACTATTTGTGACATCATAATCAGAAGGAAGTTTCCTACTGATTAGTTTATTTCTGAGGTTGGGGGGTTGTCAGAAAGCCAGTATTGGGGGTTGCTGGAATATTTCTTTCAGAGTTCCATCCTCTGTTATGATGGGTTGTAAATCTTTGATTATTATTTTTCTTATCTCTTCTAGTGCTGGGTTGTATGTGGTTACTAGAGGTACACGGTTGTTTTCTCTTTGTTCTGAGGTAGATTTTCTCTTCGGGTTCTCAAGGCTGTGTTTATGCTGGTGTTGATAGTTTTGTCCTTGTAACCTTTCTTATGGAAGGAGTCTGCTAGTGTCCAGAGATGTTTATCTCTGTCTCTTGGGTCAGAACATATTCGGTGGTATCTAATAGCCTGACTGTGTATGATGGCACGTTTCGTGTTTTGGGGGTGGAAGCTGGAAATGTGGAGGTAGTTGCATCTGTCAGTGGGTTTCCTGTATATTGAGGTGTGAAGCGTATCATCCCTGATGTATACTGTGGTGTCTAGGAAGTTGACTTGTGTGTTTGAGTATTCCATTTTTAGTTTGATTGATGGATGAAAAGTGTTGATCAATGAGTAAAATTGTTTTAGGTTTTCTTCACCTTCTGTCCATATGATGAAAATATCATCAATATAGCGATAGTATCTGTATGGATTTTGTTCCATGCTGTTCAGGAATGTTTCTTCCAGGAACATTTTTTCATGGCTGACCTGGAGGAAAAAATCCTGAACAGCATGGAAACAACATCCATGCAAAGCAGTGTGCAGGAGCTGACAGGGAGAATTGTTTTCTTTACTAACATACCCCCCCCCCCCCCCCCCCGTGCGCGCCCCTTACGCAGAAATGCAAAACACGTGTACAGTATCTCCCAGAAGTGAGTACACCCCTCACAGTTTTGTAAATATTTTATTATATCTTTTCATGTGACAACACTGAAGAAATTATACTTTGCTACAATGTAAAGTAGTGAGTGTACAGCTTGTTTAACAGTGTAAATTTGCTGTCCCTTCAAAATAACTCAACACACAGCCATTAATTAAACCGATGGCAACAAAAGTGTCAATATTTTGTGTGGCCACCAATATTGTCCAGCACTGCCTTAACTCTCCTGAGCATGGAGTTCACCAGAGCTTCACAAGTTGCCACTGGAGTTCTCTTCCACTCCTCCATGACAACGTCACAGATCTGGTGGATGTTAGAGACCTTGCGCTCCTCCACCTTCCATTTTTAGGATGCCCCACAGATGCTCAATAAGGTTTAGGTCTGGAAACATGCTTGGCCAGTCCATCACTTTTACCCTCAGCTTCTTTAGCAAGGCAGTGGTCATTTTGGAGGTGTGTTTGGGGTCGTTATCATGTTGAAATACTGCCCTGCGGCCCAGTCTCCGAAGGAAGGGGATCATGCTCTGCTTCAGTATGTAAAAGTGTATGTTGGCATTCATGGTTCCCTCAATGAACTGTAGCTCCCCAGTGCTGGCAGCACTCATGCAGCTCCAGACCATGACACTCCCACCACCACCATGCTTGACTGTAGGCAAGACACACTTGTCTTTGTACTCCTCACCTGGTTGCCGCCACCCACACTGGACACCATCTGAACCAAATAAGTTTATCTTGGTCTCATCAGACCACAGGACATGGTTCCAGTAATCCATGTCCTTAGTCTGCTTGTCTTCAGCAAACTGTTTGCGGGCTTTCTTGTGCATCATCTTTAGACGAGTCTTCCTTCTGGGATGACAGCCATGCAGACCAATTTGATGCAGTGTGCGGAGTATGGTCTGAGCACTGACAGGCTGACCCCCCACCCCTTCAACCTCTGCAGCAATGCTGGCAGCACTCCTGCATCTCTATTTCCCAAAGACAACCTCAGGTAATGATGCTGAGCACGTGCACTCAATCTCTCTGGTCGACCATGGCGAGGCCTGTTCTGAGTGGAACCTGTCCTGTTAAACCGATGTATGGTCTTAGCCACTATACTGCAGCTCCGTTTCAGAGTCTTGGCAATCTTCTTATAGCCTAGGCCAGGGGTGGGCAACTATGGCCCTCCAGCTGTTGGTGAACTACAAGTCCCATCATGCCTTTGCCTTTGGAAGTCATGCTTGCAACTGTCGGTTTCGCAATGCCTCATGGAACTTGTAGATCTACAACAGCTGGAGGGCCACAGTTGCCCACCCCTAACTTAGGCCATCTTTATGTAGAGCAACACTTCTTTTTTTCAGGTCCTCTGAGAGTTCTATGCCATGAGGTGCCATCTTGAACTTCCAGTGACCAGTGTGAGAGAGTGAAAGCGATAACACACCTGAGACCTTGTAAGACTAAGGAGTCACATAACACCAGTGAGGGAAAATGGCTAATTGGGCCCAATTTGGACATTTTCACTTAGGGGTGTATTCACTTTTGTTGCCAGCAGTTTAGACATTAATGGCTGTGTGAGTTATTTTGAGGAGACAGCAAATTTACACTGTTATACAAGATGTACACTCACTACTTTACATTGTAGCAAAATGTCATTTCTTCAGTGTTGTCACATGAAAAGATATAATAAAATATTTACAAAAATGTGTATGATGTATTCACTTCTGTGAGATACTGTATATATGTGATTTTGCTGATTCTTGCCGCCTTGTAGCTGCATATTTGCTATAGGGCGGACGTGAAGTGGTTAATTCTACAGTACAGGTCATAGGCTGGATATTTATGGACCCTGGGTTGTAGGCTGCTACCTTCTGGTAATTGGACATGGGCAAAGCTTTTGGACACGCCCCACATAACATTACCTCTATTCTGTGAGAGCTCAGTTTTTTGCTGGTGTCTGTTAGGTCAGGGCTTGAAATTTCCACTTTCCTGCTCGCCAATGGCGAGTGGAAATTATGGTGGGGGCGAGTGTGTCCCCCAGGGCCGTCTTGCATAGCCGGCTTGGTGCTCGGGCCGGATCTGTCATTGGCACTGGGAGCTGTCAGACTGCTCAATAACTGAGCACAGTGAAAGCAAAGCAACTTTTTAGGGTGTGTGTGTGTATGTACATGTGTGTGCGTGTGTACATGCGTCTGTGTGTGTGTGTACGTGTGTGTATGTACGTACATGTGTCTGTGTGTACATGTGTCTGTTTATGTATGTACATGTGTCTGTGCGTGTGTATTTCTGTGTATGTACATATTTATGTGTGTCTTTGTGTGTATACTTGTGTCTGTACAGTTGTGTTCAAAATAATAGCAGTGTTTTGAAAAAAGTGAATAAAGCTCAAAATCCTTCTAATAGCTTTTATTTCCATCCACACAAATGCATTGGGAACACTACACATTCTATTCCAAATCAAAACATGAAGAAAAATAGATCAAATTTGTGTTGTTCCTCTAAAAAAAATTGAAGAAAAGTGAATATTAGACTGTTCAAAGAAATTGCAGTGTTTGTATTCTTCTTTACAAACTCAAACATTCACTATATAAACTGAAAAATGTTTGAAGATTTTGTTTTCTTTTGAATCACTTAATTATTATTTAGTTGTATAAGCACTGTTTCTGAGAACTGCTGTACATCTGTGTTGCATGGAGTCACCAACTTCTGGCACCTGTGAACAGGTATTCCAGCCCAGGATGATTGGACTACATTCCACAGTTCTTCTCTATTTCTTGGTTTTGCCTCAGAAACTGCATTTTTTATGTCACCCCACAAGTTTTCTATTGGATTAAGATCCGGGAATTGGGCTGGCCACTCCACAACGTCAATCTTGTTGGTCTGGAACCAAGATGTTGCACGTTTACTGGTGTGTTTGGGGTCGTTGTCTTGTTGGAACACCCATTTCAAGGGCATTTCCTCTTCAGCATAAGGCAGCATGACCTCTTCAAGTATTCTGATGTATTCAAACTGATCCATGATCCCTGGTATGCGATAAATAGGCCCAACACCGTAGTATGAGAAACATCCCCATATCATGATGCTTGCACCACCATGCTTCACTGTCTTCACAGTGTACTGTGGCTTGAATTCAGTGTTTGGGGGTCGTCTGACAAACTGTCTCCGGCCACTAGACCCAAAAAGAACAATCTTACTTTCATCAGTCCACAAA